GTTAAATTTTTTTTTGTTTTATACGGCAGGTCAACAATTTATAATAAAGCCACCATAAAAATATGCTTCTTTAAAAATCCTAAGATATGATTATTGAGAAAAAAGCTGCTAAGAACATTGTGAGTATTGGGGAGAAAGATTTTTTCTTTGCAACCTCTTTTTTTCTTTGAGTTTTCCAATCTTTTTTTAGAGAGGTTCTTGTGATAGCTTGCTCCCTTATTTCCCTACAATATATGCTTCAAACCATTGATTTGGGAGTCCAAATCTTTCGTTCGAGAGCTTTTGAGCTTTTCTTATAGAGATCACTATGATCTTGTGATGTTTTATTATTTTTTTGGGTATTGTGAAACTAGCCGGTGAGGCTAAGGTATCTGTGCTTTTTGAGAAAGAAATGAGGTGTATTTGTTTTCTTCAATTCCCTTGAAGGAGATAAGACTTTTTCGTCTTGCTTTGAGCAAAAGAAGAGTAGCGAAATTCTTAACTAGAGTATTTTGGAAATGGATGAAAGCCAATATATTGAACAACTATATATTTATTTAATCCTTTTATCTTGCATTTTATGATTCTTGTGTTACTTTTATGCTAGTTGGTAGCACATGCATCATTTTCTTTTGGCGAAAAGTGATTTACATCAGATAGACTATTGCATTCATTCTCTAAAGTTACTTGCTATTTATTGTGCACACATAGCACATGCATCATTTTCTTTTGGTCCGGTCACCTGACGTAGCTCTACGTTTGGACGCCAGTAAAATAGTATCACGTGTTCTCACTATTTACCACGCGGCCCGACAACCCCGACCCGGAACAGAGATGGGATCGCTAGGTTCGCGAACACTTGGAAATCCAAGTGTTTCCTATCAAGATCGTCATAAGCAACAAAGAAATTGGGATTATGGAATTGAAATTGATGTTCCTAACTTTGAGGGTAAGCTACAACCTGATCAATTTTTTGAATGGGTAGAAAAGATAGATCAATTTTTTGAGTGGAAAGAAATACCTGATGATAGGAAAGTTCGTTTTGCTAGCTTAAAACTTTCTGGTCACGCTTTAATCTGGTGGAAAAACTTTCAAAATAATAGACTTAGAAGGGAAAAGAAAAAGTCCAAAATTGAGAAAGAATGAAGGAGAAAATGAAAGGAAAATTCTTGCCAACTGATCATGCTCGAACTATATTCCAGGAATTTAATAATTTGAAACAAGAAAATCAATCCATTGAAGAATACACTGAAATATTTTACAAACTTCAATCTAGAAACGATTTAGAAGAATCTGAAGAAAAACTGTTTCAAGATATATCAATGGTTTAAAGTGGTCAATTCAAGATCAACTCAATTTGCATCATATCATTAAAACTGACGAGGCTTATTGTATGGCTTTAAATTGGAAAAGCAACATCAAAGGGAATGGGGTCACAATAAAATCGTGGAAACATATAAACGCCATTCAATTGGCGGGAGTAAATCTCAATCTCAAACTTCTGGGGGAACATTTGGTCTGAAAATTAAAGCTTTTGAAAATCAAAATACTGATAAAGGAAAAGGGATTATGGGTACTAAACCGACTGATCCACCTAAGTTAATTGGACCATGTTATAAATGCGGGCTTTATGGTTATCTTTCAGCCACTTGTAGGAAAAATAATCCACCAAGAAATAATCTCATTGAAAAAGATGAAAATTCAGAAGAAGAAGTGAATGAAATTGAATCTGAAAATGACAATGAAATAGAAAGAGTTGATGTTGAAGGAGATGAAGGTGGAGAGTTTTTGGTAATTTGACAAGTTCTAACAACAACAATTGACAAAGAAAATAGATGGCTAAGAGGAAACATGTTCAAAACAACTTGCACCATCAAAGGAAAAATCTGCACCCTTATGATAGATAGTGGAAGTTCAGAAAATTTGGTTTCTCAAAAATGGTTGACAAACTTAAACTCAAATCAAAACCACTTCCTAAATCCTATAAGATCTCTTGGTTCAAAGAAGGGGGTGAGGTTCCAATCACTAAACAATGTACTGTCAATTTATCAATTGGGGGATCATTTAAAGATAAAGTTGTTTGTGATATTGTGCCTCTTGAAGTTTTCCATGTTTTGCTAGGACGACCTTTGCAGTACGACAACAAAACTATTCACAATGGAGAGAAAAACGTATATACTTTGATGCAAAATAATAAAGAGTTTACTCTTCATCCACAAAAGAATGTGCCGGATTCACCCGTTAAGAAAAACACAGTTGCCAAAATTACTTCTCCTGAACTGCTTTTAAATGCTAATGATTTGAAATATTTTGAAGTTGCTTATTTGGTTTTGGGAAAAGAATCTGATACTGTTTTTCATATTAAAAAAAAATGCAAGCTTTATTGGATGAGTTTTCTGATATAACTCCTGATGATTTGCCAATTGGATTGCCTCCTATGCGATAAATTCAACATCATATTGATTTAATACCTGGAGCTACTTTGCCCAACCTTTCTCATTATAGAATGAGTCCAGCCGAGCATGCTGAACTTTTTAAACAAGTATCTGAATTGTTAAAAAAGGGTTTGATTCAAGAAAGTTTGAGTTCTTGTGCTGTGTCTGTTTTACTAACTCCAAAAGAAGATGAAACTTGGAGGATGTGTGTGGATAGTAGGGCAATAAATAAAATTACCATTAAATATTGATTTCCAATTCCTAGACTGAGGCCTGGTGATGAATGGAAAACTGCTTTTAAAACTAAAGAGGGTTTGTATGAGTGGCTTGTGATGCCTTTTGGTCTTTCAAATACTCCGAGTACTTTTATGAGAACTATGAATCATGTTTTGAAACCTCTCATTGGAAAGTTTGTTGTGATTTATTTCGATGACATTTTGATTTATAGCATTCATCCTTATGAACACTTAAATCATGTGAAACAAGTGTTGCAAATCTTAAGAGAACAAAAGCTTTTCATCAACCTTAAGAAATGTTCTTTCATGACTGCGAGTTTGATGTTTTTGGGCTTTATTGTTTCTGCTGAAGGGATAAAAGTGGATCCGATTAAAATAGAAGCAATTCAAAACTGGCCTATTCCTAAAAATATAAGCGAAGTAAGAGGATTTCATGGTTTGGCTTCTTTCTATAGGAGATTTATAAAAAATTTTAGTTCTCTGATTGCTCATATTACTGATTGTTTGAAAAAGGGGATTTTTAGGTGGACACCTCAAGCTGAAAAAACTTTTGAAATTATTAAAACAAAAATGAGTCAAGCTCCCATTCTTAGCTTGCCAAATTTTGACATCATTTTTGAAGTTGATTGCGATGCCTCTCATATTGGTATTGGTGCCGTGCTTAGTCAAGAAGGAAAACCTGTTGCTTACTTTAATGAGAAACTGAATGAATCTAGATATAAGTATTCTACTTATGATTTAGAGTTCTATACTATTGTGCAAGCTTTAAAATTCTGGAGGTGTTACTTGATTCAAAGAGAATTTGTTTTAAATACTGATCATGAAGCACTTCATTTTCTGGACTCTCAAAAAAATTTGAATAAAAGGCATGTCAAGTGGGTTTCATTTTTGCAAGGATACGCTTTTCATATCAAACATAAAACTGGTGTTTTGAATAAAGTTGCTGATGCTTTAAGTCGGAGGTTTCACTTGTTAATAACTGTTTATCCGACTGTTACTTCTTTTGAGTTTTTGAAAGAAACTTATGCAAGTGATCCTGACTTTAAAGATATTTGGGAAGTAGCTTCGGGAACTGATCCATCTGGTCAATACATTATTCATCAAGGGTTTTTGTTTAAAGGTTCTAGACTTTGCATTTCAAAAAATTATTTAAGAGAACAGTTAGTGCATGAACTTCATAGTGGGGGTTTGAGTGGACATTCTGGTCAGGGGAAAACTATTGCTATGGTAGAAGAAAAATATTTCTGGTCTCATATGAGAAAACAAATTGCTAAATTGGTGAAACAATGCAAAATCTGTCAAGCTTTTAAAGGAACATCACAAAATACTAGTTTATACTCCTCTTCCAATTCCAAATAAACCTTGTGAGGACATTTCTTTGGATTTTATTCTTGGTCTTCCGGTTACTGCTAGAAAGCATGATTCTGTTTTTGTTGTTGTTGATCGTTTTAGTAAAATGACTCATTTCTTTGCTTGCAAAAAAAACTTCTGATGCTTCACATGTGGTTGATTTATTTTTTAAAGAGATTGTTCGTCTTCATGTTGTCCCTCGTACATTTACTTCTGATCGGGATACTAGATTTTTAAGTCACTTTTGGAGAACTCTGTGGGCTAAGTTAGGAACTTCTCTTTAGTTTAGTAGTGCTTATCATCCTCAAACGGATGGGCAAACTGAAGTTGTTAATCGCAGTTTGGGAAATCTTTTGAGATGCCTTGCTGGTGAGAAACCTTCTCAATGGGATTTAATTCTTCCTCAAGTTGAATTTGCATATAATAATTCTGTTAATAAAACTTCCGGAAAAACTCCCTTTGAAATTTTATATGGTCAGTCTATTCCACATTTTTTGGATAGGAATGGGTTGTCTTTACCCAACAAAGTAAGTGCTGAAGCTTTAGAATCTTTTGATCATATCAAATCAGTCCAACAACAAGTTCTTGAAAAACTCCGTATAACTAATGGCAAATACAAAACTGCTTCAGATAAACATCGGAGAGAAGTTGTTTTTAAATAAGGTGACATGGTAATGGCTTACTTTTGTCGCCAACGATTTTTGGTTGGTACTTTTGGTATTTTGAGCAAAAAAAAAAAAATTCGGACCTTTCCGAATTATCCGAAAACTGGGCACAAATGCATAACTCTTGGATCTACCTATTACTGTTGGAACTTCTCCTATATTTAATGTTTATGACCTTTCTTTATATGAAGGAAATATATGTGATTATGTGGATGTTGAAACGTTGCCACTTTCCACTTCAACCTTGAATAAAGAAGATCAAATTGAAGATGTTGTTGATGTGAAAATCACTAAAACAAGACATGACGAACCCAAGAAGTTTTTGGTCAAATGGAGTAATCGACCATTAATTGATTGCACCTGGATTGATGCTGCTGATCTGAAAAATCAAAATTTAGAGCTTTATGAAAGAGCTACTGAAGCTTTCTCATTAGGAGATGAGATTCTCCCATCAGGGAGGAATTGATGCATTTAGATTTTTGCATTATTTTTGTTTTGAGCAATATAGTTATATTTTCTATTATTTTTTGTTTTTTTTATGCTATCCAATGATGGTGGTAAATCCAATGGTCATGGTAGGAAAATGTTTGGGTTAAGCTTACCCTGGATTTGCTGGCTTTGGGGTCCACCTTGTCCTTTGGGCTGTTGGCTGGTTTCGGGTGGGCCTTGACTGTTTTTGGTTTGAGCTTTAGTTGTTGAAATTTTAGTGGTGCCAGCTCATTATTATCAAGTGGAGTGAGCATATTTTGGTGGGTGGAACTTGCCCTTTCCTCTCCCTTTCGTCTCTTGGGCTGCTGCAGTTTTTCTGCTGTTGACCCCTCGGTTCTCTGTCCCCTTTTACTGCCGTGACTTCCCCCCTTTTTACCGAGAAATGATCTCCTGCTGGACCCGAGAATTGTCTCCTGGTTTCCGGTGCTTGGCTGCTGGAACCGTGGCTTTCCCTTGTGCCGTTTGGAATTTCTGTGCAAAAATAGTTGGCTTTTCAACTCCCCATTCATGAGTGGAATTGAAGTATTTTGGGCTGTTTAGTTCCCCTCTATTGCCTATATATATGAAATGCTTTGAGATGAAATGGGTTGGTGAATGTTGAGAGCAAAGTTGTTATAACCTGCGGGTTCTTCTTGTAAAAGCTTGAGAGCTTTGTCCATTCCCTCTTCTACCTCTTGGAAGGCTTGCATACATTATATAACATTAGTGGACCTAAGCTAATATGGGTTCCTAAGGTCACATATTAGCATTCTTGTGTAGGTGTACCTTTAGAAAGAAACTGATGAAGGCATATTACACTTGGACAATGGTGCTCACATCACATGATTAGAGATAAGAGCAAGTTTATTGCAATTGAGTTAAAAAATGGTCTAAAGGCGATCTTTGGAAACAATAGAACATGGAAGCTAATTAGGTCAGTTACTGCCAGTAATGGAAATTCATTTACCTCAACAACAAAAACAACAACATCATACCTTTGTCCCACTATGTGGGGCTGGCTATATGAATCTTTTTTCTCCATTGTATCCTGTTAAAAGTTAAATTCTCATTTAAATCTACTAAAGAAAGATCATTTCTAATATTTTCTAACCAAGTCTTTTTAGGTCTACCTCTACCTTTTTTAATAAAATTCAAATCTAATAACACTACTTTCCTAACTGGGTCATCAGAAGGCCACCGTTTTATGTGACCAAACCATCTAAGGCGACTATCTAATCTTATCTTCCACTAGCGCTACTCTAACCTTTTCACATATATGCTCATTTCGTATCCTATCTCCAAGGGTAAAGCCATTCATCCACTTGAGCATCCTCATCTCTGCAACACTAACTTAGTATTATGCTTCTCTTTTAATGGCCAACATTTGACACCATAAAGCATTGCAGGTCTCACCACCATCTTATAGAATTTTCCTTAAGTTTGAGGGGGACTTTTCTATCACACAACAAGCTCGATGCATTCCTCCACTTCAACCATCAAACTTGAATTTTGCTGATAATATCCCCATCTATTTTGCAATCACTCTGAACAATAGATCCAAGATATCTAAAACGTGTACTACTATTAATGACTTGATGGCTCAAAGTCAAAATCCCCTCACTAGGTCTATTACTATTAAAATTACACTACATATATTCTGTTTTAGATCTACTCAAGAAAAAAACTTTAGATTCGGGGTGACCTCTATAATTCAAGTTTACCTTCAACTCCCTCTCTAGTCTTTTCAACATGAAGAATATCATCAGCAAAAAGCATACCCCAAGGTAAATCCTCTTGCGAATGTCTAGTGAGAACATCCATGATTAAAGCAAAAGATATGGGCTTAAGGCTGATCCTTGATGTAATCGAACCGAAATAATAAAATACTTGGTCAAACCACCTTGTGTTTGAACACTAGTTATAGCTCCTGCATACAAATCTTTAATGATTTGAATATAAGCGTTATTAACTCATTTCATTTCAAGAACTCTCCATAACATGGAACTTTATCTTATGCTTTCTCTAAATCAATAAATATCATATGTAGATCCTTCTTATTCTCTCTATATTTCTCCATCAAACTTCTTAATAAAAATATTGGGGCAAAAAATTATTTATGAGGTAAAAATAAATTTTCTTACCTTTATTTTTTTAACAACAAAAAGGATAAAGTACACATACTAAATTTTACTACAAATACTAAGCACAAGTACAGATAAACTAAATAGTGATACAAATTTATTATTCTCCATTTTAACATCTCAAAAAGGCAAGTTAATCTAATAGAACACAGACGAACAACAGATAGAAAATGAAGCTCAATAACTGGACGACCCAGCGGTGAAGGTAGAGGATGGAAATAACAATGTATCAGGGAGAACTAATCATGAAACCAGGCTCAATCATCATTGTGCTAATGTTGTAACTGTTCCCATAGGACATTCGCTTGTTGAATATATTTATCAACTTTTAGCTCCTACCATGCAAATTGCTTGGCCCAAAAAAAAATTATCACAATTAGTAACTGGTACTACAATTGATAAACTTCGTAATTTGTATTATCCCCACCCTGGCCCCATAAATTTCTTCAATTCATCTCCGTCAGATTGATTTAATGTTTTTCATTTTCCATCCTGTGCCTACTTGCCTCGCTACTTAACATTTTTAGTAGCGTTTTGTTTCATGTTTCCCATTTGATAATAGAATGACTTTTGTTAACTAATGATATTGGAACTATTTGTTTAAAACTCACATTTTGCTATATTTTTTCTACATATCTGATAACCCACATGTTGCTATATTCTTTGTAAATATTTTCTAAGCAATTTAAATTTCGTTGAAGGCATTAGAATCTGTAAACACATTCATTATTGAATTTCGAGATGGTGATGAGAAGAATTCTTGGTTTAAAGAGCTCGTGCAAGCGACATACAGAGCTTCGGTATTTTACTGTTCTCTTTTTAGATATTGAAGTTCCAATGATGCCCCTTATGTTTCTTCTCATTTTTTTTAAATTTTTTTTCTGTTTGGTTATTTTATTTTTGATTAGGCTCCACCAACAATTAATATACTAGGAGAGCAAATCAATAGCATGACAGAAACTATTACAGTCCGACATGGTATCGTGGGGCTTGCTGACCTCGTAATTTGTGGTGCTCTTGTTGAAACAAAATTGTCAATATATGGAAAAGTACGTTGAGTTTAATTATTTGGTTTCCGACGGTAGCTTTTTTTCTACATCTGTGCAATTAACAAGCAGACTCGCATATATTCTCGCTGATTTGTATTTTCATTTTTTGTGATATTTTATTTGCAGTATGATGGAAATTGTGTAAGTTCAGAAGAATTGATTTTAGAACTACTCGGGGGTGGAGGAAAGGTTTGTTTCATTATTGATGGTTTGGTATATCAAATTTTGCAAAGGAATTATATATATATATATATATATATATATATATAGAAAACTTATTTTTCTGTAATTATTTGTGAGACGGGCTTTAAAATGTTTTTGGTTGGTCATTTGCATGCAAATTTTGCAATATATATAGAACAATTATCAAGCAATTAACTCATAAAGAACATCCAAAAAGAAATTGTTGTCAATAGTTAGTCCGAAGTTCAGGAGTATAGAGAAGGCATAAAATAAAAGAATACTACAGTGGTTTTTCTATAACATTTTGTACGGATGTCTTTAAAATGATTTTTGTTTGTTGTTTGCATTATATATGGAGGAGTTGCCAAGTAATTAACTCATAAAGAACATCCAAGAAGAAAATGTTGTGAATACTTATTCTAAAGTTTGGGAGTCACTTCAAGCAGCTGTGAATTGAACTGATTGATTTCAGCACTTTCATGAATAATTTAAAATATCAATGCTTGATTCCGGAAGACATTTTTCCTACCCTTTCAAACGTCTTTTGAGAATAATCTTAATTTATGTACGAGATATTGATGTAATAAAAAATTTGAGGCCATAAAAAATTTGGGACCCAAATTTTTGATTACAAAAATATTTCCTTACTAAGGATAAAGAAAATAGACAAAATAGACAAAATAAGAAATAACACAACTTTTTATAATAAAAGACTCCTATAACTCTTGACACTTACAAACTTGACATAAACACAAATTAAAAACACCTAAAGTTGCATTCCATTCGTTGCTTTGAGAAGAAGGATACATGTGGAAGGGAACTTGCAGAGAGACGAAAGAGATTAGAAGACTAGTCGAAGTAGGGGAGTAACTCGCAAGTTATCCCAAGCTAGAGAAGAAGAAGAAGTGGACAAAGCTCACAAGCTTTTCCAAAAAAACTCTTAGGTTTTATCTCCAAAAATCATAATTTTCACCATCACAACGATCCAAAAACATCTTCTATATATAGGCAAAAGAGGGAAACCAAACAATCATAACACCTCCAAATAAGCCAATTAGATTTAGGGAAAAAAAAGGTCAATAGCCACTTCAACAATTCTCAAACGACACAACAAAACAGAGAAGGGAGTTCACGGGAACCAAGAAGAAAGCCCACGGAACCAAGCAGAGAACCGCGGAACCGAGCAGCCCAGCATGGAACCAAGCAGCCAACCGCAGAAAACAAGTAGCAGCCACGGGAACCAAAGGGGCAAAACCACGGGACAATCAACTAGCACAGGAAAACGAGAAGACAAAGGGGAGGAGAAGAGACAAGTGGGGGAAATCAAAGAGACACATGAAGAAACCAAAGAGACAAATGAAAAAGGGGAATGAAGCTAATAATTCTTCAACAAATGAACTAAAAAACAGCTCATAATGAGCTAGATTTTAGCTCAAAATATTAATGAGCTAGCAAGCCCAAGAGAAGTCAAAACCAAAATTTGGGATTTGATTTGACCCCCCTTGCCTGCATCAGACTCTCCTACTTGAAAAACTCATATCCCGATGAGTTGTCTTTTGATTTGATCCGAGGAGACGGTGGGAGTGCATCTAACTCTTGAATATTAGCCTCGAATTTCTTCAGGATTTCTCCTTTTTCTTTCTCGAATTGGTCTTGAAGAAATTTTTTCTTTTTCTCGAATTTCTCATCACATAAGAACATGTGATATTGAAGTTTATAAAACTCATTTTATAACAGATCAGTTGAACTTCCTTCCTTTGTAACCCATCTATCCATTGGAATTTGGACTTCAAGATCTTCTAGATGATTTTCTTCCACCACCGGATTATTTAGCTGATTTTGATTTTACATTTTTCTAAAAAGACTCAACAAAACAAGATTCACATAACTGCTATGACTTACCAAGACTTTACTCAACAGATCGGGATAAGAATTTGCTCTAATACCATTTTGATGTAATTAAAAATTTGGGAAGGGCCCCAAATTTTTTATTACAAAAATTTTTCCTTACTAGGATAAAGAAAATTACACAAAATAGAAAAAATAAGAAATAACACAACTTTTTATAATAAAGACTCCAACTCTTGACACTTACAAACTTGACACAAACACAAATTAAAAACACCTAAAGTTGCATTCCATTCGTTGTTTTCGGAAGAAGGATACATGTGGAAGGGAACTTGCGGAGAGACGAAAGAGATTAGAAGACTAGTCGAAGTAGGGGAGTAACTCGCAAGTTATCCCGAGCTAGAGAAGAAGAAGAAGTGGACAAAACTCTCAAGCTTTTCCAAAAACCCTCAAGTTTTATCTCCAAAAATCATAATTTTCACTATCACAACCATCCAAAAATATCTTCTATATATAAGCAAAAGAGGGGAACCAAACAGCCATAACACCTCCAAATAAGCCAATTAGATTTAGGGAAAAGAAAGGTCAATAGCCACATCAATAATTCCCAAACGGCACAGCAAAATAGAGAAGGGAGTTCACGGGAACCAAGCAGAAAACCCATGGAACTAAGCAGAGAACCGCGGAACCGAGTGGGCACGGAACCAAGTAGCCAGCCGCAGAAACCAAGCATTAGCCACGAGAACCAAAGGGACAAAGCCAGGGGACAATCAACTAGCACTGGAAAACGAGAAGGCAAAGGGGAGGGAAAGAGACAAGTGGGGGAAATCAAAGAAACACACGAAGAAACCAAAGAGACAAAGGAAAAAGGGGAATGAAGCTAATAATTCTTCAATGAATGAACTAAAAAACAGCTCATAATGAGCTAGATTTTAGCTCAAAATATTAATGGGCTAGCAAGCCCAAGAGAAGTCAAAACTAAAATTTAGGATTTGATTTGACTCCCCCCTTGCCTACATCATATATTAAACACCATCACGTTTGACATAGAAAGTATTCCATTGCCATTTATCAAACTGAAAAATATTAGGCTTTATGGACCGAATATACCATGAATCTCGAATAATATGTGATGTAGGCAAGGGGGGGTCAAAACAAGATCAGAATTTGTTTTGACCCTTGGGCTTCTGGTGTTCTCGGGTGAGACTTGGTTTCTTTGTTTTGAGCTCAAAATTCTGGAATTCTACTTGGTGTTAGCTCATAAATGCTTGAGGTAAAATTTTAGCTCAATGATTGGGGATTAATTGCACTTCCTAGCTCATTAATCCAAAAAGGTTTGCTATTAAGTCTTGAATTTATTTTGTAGTGAACTTTGCCTCTTCTCCTTCCCTTTGTCTATTTGTTTTCTTGTGCTGGTTGTTTTCCCGTGCCTTGTCCCTTGGGTTCCCGTGGCTGCCTGTTAGTTTGCTGTGCTGGGAGGTTTTCCCGTGCCTTTGCCCCCTTGGTTCCCGTGGTTGGCTGTTCGGTTTTGCGGTTCCCTGCTTGGTTACGTGCTGGGCTACTCGGTTTTGCGGTTTCCTGCTTGGTTCCGTGAGTTTCTTTCTTTGTTTTGCTGAAACGTTTGGGAATTGCTGTTGTGGCTGTTGGCCTTTCATTTTCTAAAATCTAAGTGGCTTATTTGAAAGGTTTATGGTTGTTTGGTTCTCCACTCTTGCCTATATATTAGAGATGTATTTTGAGGGAAAAAAAAGAGGTGAAAAATGAGATTTTTGGAATGGAACAACTGAAGGTTTTTCTTGGAAAAGCTTGAGAGCTTTGTCCACTTTTTCTTCTTCTACTTTTTGAGAAAGCTTGCGAGCTTGTCTCCCTTCATTTTGGCTTCTAATCCCTTTCTTCTCTACGGAAGTGCCACCTCACCTGTATCCTTCTTCTCAATGATTGCCAAGCTCCTTTAGGTTTGTTGTGTCCAAGATTGTAAGGTGTTTGTATCCAAGTTTGTAAGGTGTTTGTATCTAAGTTTGTAAGTGTCTTTATATGATATAAAAGGTGTCTTTTAGAATTTTGTATCTTTTTGTAGTATTTTGTGCATCTTCTAAGTTATAGGAAGAGTCTTCTTTTTGCAATCAATAATTTGGGAACCAAAGTTTTGATTACAAAAAGAATCATTGTCCCAGGTGTAGATAGATTGAATATATTTCTAATTACAATTGGAAAAAAAGAGATGAAAAATGAGATTTTTGGAATGGAAAAACTGAAGGTTTTTCTTGGAAAAGCATGAGAGCTTTGTCCACTTCTTCTTCTACTATTTGAGAAAGCTTATGAGCTTTTCTCCCTTCCTTCTCGACTTCTAATATTTTTCGTCTCTCCGCAAGTTTCCTTCAACATGTATCCTTATTCTCAAAGCAACAAATGGAATGCAACTTTGGGTGTTTTTAATTTGTGGTTGTGTCAAGTTTGTAAGCATTGTTTGTAAGTCATTTTATAATATTAAAGTTGTATTTTGTCTATTTCTTGTAATTTCTTTATCCTAGTAAGGTCATATCTTTCTAGCAAAAAAATTAAGGGTCTCCTAATTTTTTGCTTATTTTTGCGTGCATCAAATTTAGTATAAGAGCAAGTTCTTATCCCGGTTTGTCAAATGAGTCTGGGTGAGTCATAGTAGTTGTCGTGTAAGTATGTGGTGTCAAGTAATTTAAGTTTTGTTGAGTCTTTTAGAAAAATGGAAAAAGACAAAATAGTGATCTAGTGGAAGAATGTAAGCCAGAAGATCGTGAAGCCTAAATTCCATTGGATAGATGGGTTCCAAAAGAAGGAAGTTCAACAGATCCGCTTCAAAACGAATTGTACAAACTTCAACATCACATGTTCTTATGTGATGAGAAATACGAGAAAAGGAAGAAATATCTTCAAGAACAATTTGAGAAAGAGCAAGAAGAAATCCTGAAGAAATTCGAGGCAAAAATTCAAGAGTTAGATGCACTCCCTCCGTCTCCTCGGATCAAACCAAAAGACAACTCATCAGGAGATGAGTTTTTCAAGTAGGGGAGTCTGATGTAGGTAAGGGGGGGTGGGGGGGTCAAAACAAGATGATAATTTCTTTTGATCCTTGGGCTTCTAGTGTTCTCGGGTGAGACTTGGTTTCTTGGTTTTGAGCTCAA